GTCTGGCTTTGTGCATTTGTAAATACTTTTGAATGATTGATCTCTGACACACGTGTACGCATACTCTCCACCTGAAAGAATTACACGTACCTTGGGATCTTTGGAAGAGTAACTTTAGGTAAGTATGTGAGTGTGAAAGTATACACATGGCTTGCACAGTTAGCCTAGAACAGGACTTTTGATGTTAAATTTTTATACCTAGTGTGTGTTGCTGTACCTTATCTCATACATGTGGCATTTTTCAAATGTGACTGGGTTCCAGTAGAGGTGGTCATATTGTGTGTGTGGTGTGTGTGTGTGTGGTGTGTGTGTGTGTGTGTGTGTAAGTGTGTAAGTGTGTACATCTAATTAATGACTGGCAGTGGTCCCCCACAGCTCTGGTAATGTGCTTAGATCAGTGTTATAAACAGGGCGTGAAAGGTCTGCCCAGCGCCAGCCTTTTAAATGACTGGCCTCTTGTTCAGGTAGATGGATGGAAATGTTCTAATATTAATGATCACGTCCCCTGCTGACCTGTCGCGAGGTGAAATGATCAACGCAGCCTTCAGCTTCCAACAGCAATTAATGGGCCAGAGCCGATCTGTCTGCCATTTGTCATCACTTACTCCACCTGTGCACCCCCGCCGAACACGTGCTAAACATGTCTGTCAATATATACAGAATGTTCACTTCACTGATTTGAAAAAATATGCAATAGTTAATGACATAGCATTTGTTCTCAGTTATTTCTGGACCATTATTTTTCTTCTCCTTAATTTGTTTCTAACCAGAAATGAGAAAACAAAACCAGAAAAACCCCCCCAAAAGAAGTCTGATGACTTCAGCATGTCTCAATCCTTTGTTGTGTATCACTGATTATGTTCTTAATAAGTTACTTTGAAGAGACTGTCTTGCATAAAACATGATTTGCAAACGTAAGCTAGACCCACATGTCAAACTGAATCTGTAAACGCATCTCAGGATAATACACGTTACCCAGTAAAATTTACATATTAACAAGAAAGTAGCTGAAAGTCTGTTTATTTGAGATATTTCTGGCAGCATCCTTCTTACTGACCTTTAACTCTCACAGTCCAATTCATATTCATAGGCCAGTCCTCAGCAGGAGTATGGACACAAGGGGTTACACATTACCAATGCCCTCGCTCTGAGGTCAGCTCCCACACATTCCAGTTACCCATTTACCAGTCTGCCCAGTTAGCCATCACATTAAGTCACCAAACTTCGAGCTGGTGTTCATAAAATAAATGAATACCACAAGTGGCTGTAAACAAAATGTCAGAATGGGGGGGATTTTTTTCCCCCCTGAATTTTGTTTTTATAGCATGCATGATGAAAACAAGAGATGAAAACAAGAGAGGTCATTTTTGTCGCTGTAACTGCTGATGGAGCTTCTTTTTTCATTAATGTATTTGCAGCATGGGCTTTTTTAGAATAGATATTGTCTTAAAAAGGCATAAAATAAACTTAAACTGAAATAATAAACTATAGCCAGAACCACAAAAATAGAAGCTCTGTGTTTATGCGTGTGTGCGCATCACCTCGAAAATTCTTACCTGTCAGCGACTCATTTTTTTGTGATGGCACCTAGGTGGCATGTTAGATTTAGTCACTATCACATATCTAAAGATGGTGTAGTCCCTGACCTGCACAGATCTTTGTTAAACAAACTGTGCTACAATTAGCCAAAAGGTCCTTTTTGATTGTATTCAACAGTTACAATTATCTGTATATTTGTACTTAAGCTTTGCCAATTCAAAGCTTTGCTAAAGACTTCTACAGCTTTTATATGCATCACACATGCAAACACAAATGTCTTGGTGGAGTAGGCACTCCCTGGCCTTCTCTGTGCCCTGTGTCGCTTCACACGAGCTCCCTACATTCTTCGATCCGGTGCCAAATGGATCTGGGCGGAAACGCCTTTCATGTACATGGGTAGGCTGTCTGTTTGAGTCTGACGTTTTATAGCCGACTTGTCAAAGTTGTTGATTCCCCATCACTTTTGCAGAAAGGGAACAGTTCTGAAATGGGTGTCTCACAAGTACCGGGAGAACACTGTCTAAACACAGTGCTCTATTATAGAGCTATCTCTCATCACGTCATCCTTGGGTTGCAGAAGGATTGCTTGAGATCCATGGTTTTCTGTTTTAATATTGAAATTCGTGCATTGATAGCAGTACTGCCCTCCTTTGGCTGGTATTAAAGAGTTTACATATGTTTTTACTGTGCCTGCACAGATTCTTTGTGGTACATGTATGCTAGGTTATCTGGTGATCTATACTGGCTCTACACATGAACGTTAGCCTGAATAGTTGACTGTTACGCTGTGTTAGCCCAGTGATAAACTGGCAACCTGACCTGGGTGAACCCTTCGTCTTGTCCTTTTATAGCTGAGATAGACACCAGCTCACTGTGACTGTAAATTTGATAAGTAGCTGAGAAAATAGATGAATGGATAGAGCCAAGAAGAATTTCTGTGAACATATCTCAAACAGGGGGACGCGTACTGGAACATTTTACTAAACACTGGTGCTTTTACATATCTGTAGTTTATGATGCATCAGCCAAATCTAGACAAGCCCAGTGGAACTCATCTGCCCTCTGTCAGCATTTGTAGATACAGTGCTTTCCAGTGGACCATCGGGGGCAGAAAAGAGGCTGGAGGTGTTTTTATCCTTGCAGCAGTGGAGTTATCTCACTATTTTGAGCTATTGATGCTAAGCGCTGGACATTAATCTACTCTGTGAAGATCGCTTTGAAGAAAGTGTCCGTTGAAGTGTCACAGATGGGAAATAAATGAAATTAATAAATATATGGTACACAGTTTGATATCTCTTATAGGCCAAGATCAAAGCAAACCAATTGAGTTCTATTCTACCTAATATGTTTTGCTGTGATAAACAGTCCGGCTGAGGGAATAATCCCATCAAGGAAGGGAGAGATTAAAAAAAGGAAAAAAAAAAAAATCAGATATATCACTCAGTACAGACGGTTGGCACGGCTACCGTGAAGCATCCGTGTTATTATGGAATTGGTAATCTCGTTTCTTGGGTCTGAGTGGAAACGCAGACCTTTTTTTCCCGTGATTTTCCTTCTTGAATCAGGTGCAGACACAGAAAAGGGAAGACAGACACAGCGGTTCTCTGATACTGTGAGAGTCCATCTGCTTCAGAGGGCTCTGGTAACTTCTTGTCTTTCGTTTTTTCTCTGGAATTTCTGAGTATCTTGATGTATTTGACACGTGTGTGACAGACCTGGTTATGTGTGATTGGGCTTGAGGCATGGTGCTCACTACCACAGCTACATGTTTTTCAGAAAAGGCCATGCGCTGTGTGTGTATAAGAGCCACTTTTGCACTTGTGTACACAATGGTGGTTTTGCACTATGAATGAAGCAAAGTGTAATGTATTACTTACATGCGCACATATAAAACAGACGGATGCCACTATATGGATGTGTACAGTAGAGTCTCACAGCAGCAGTCAAATAAATACACACACAGGTACACAGCGGCATCCGCACACAACAATAGCCCAGAGCCTCACCTTGATATCTTCAGTTTCTGTCATAAGTTAGAATTTGACACCAATGAATGTGTGTCAGGTTGTCAATTTCTTCCAGCAGCCTTTGAATGCAGTCTGGCCATGAATAGTGCATGTTGTTTTGTTTTTTACATTCCAACTGTCTGCAAGTCTGTTTTTGTTTGTTCCAGAATAACTTGGAAGGCCTGTACACTCATGCGCATCCTTTAAGAAAACTTTCAGCAGGTGTTGTGTTGTTTAGCCTTAGGTAAAGTTTCAGCCCTGAAGGTAAATTCACCAAACTGCGTTAGATCTGATGCCCTCCCATTTCTTCCACCTCTGTGATTGTGTTCTGTTTCCTCTCTGCTGTCTTTAATACGCATTCTTCTTCCACTTGACCTCCTTATGATCCATACTCTTTTTGAGTCTGGACATATATCGTTTTATAACTGCAGTTTATTGTTATGACTGGGACATTTTATTTAGCCCTAAAAGTCAGGGCAAGTTTCTGTTTTTTACGTCAGTACCTGTGTTGCTTGTGAAGTCTTTGGCATTAGTAGTGGGGAAGTAATGTGAGACTCGTGCTGTAAATGTCTCAGAAATATACACCTGGCTGGTTTTTCTTCAACAATTACAACTGCTTGATTGTTGATGCACAAGTCATTCATGCAGAGGTTTGAAAGATGTAAAAAAGACAATAGCATGATGGGTACATTTCAGCTTCCTGCTGCAGAGAAGCCATATAGAGACTCTGTGTGTGTGTTTGTACATGGATGCACCTGCGGGGAATGAATGATGATGTACTGTGCACGCATGCAGGTACACATACCTTCAAACAAGCGCATATGGAAGCAGAAGAAGAGGCAGGTTGGGGAGACTGTTGTGAAATTTATTTGGGTATATATTTTTTATACTAGTTGCCATTGGATTTACAGGTCAGAATGGAATGTGGCCCAATGAAAGGTACTTTGATCCATCCTCCGAGCTGACTGTTTTATTGGAGGAGCTCTGCATGGCGCAGGACATCTTTTATAAGGTTGTGAGGAACCCACCGGCAGCCTTCGCAAAATCATAAAAATGTGAGAAGTCAATGAAAATAACCGGTGACCGGTCATACCTCAGCCAGTTTTGAAAGGATCATTTGTTCAAATGCATTAATTAAAATGGGCTGCATAGCTTGTGGTTCGGTTTGAAGTGATCATGATTAGATTTTGGTTTCCTATTACCTTATACTGTATATCTAAATGATGGATTTATTAGATTTACTGATTTATAGTTTTATGTGTTTATCGCTTATTTTATTTGTGTAAACCTTTGTCCTCAAACGACGTGCAGACTGTCTCAGAAAAGCTGCATGCTGAGTATATTTGAAGGTTCAGGCCGCTTAGACATTAAATATAAAAATGACAGCAAAACAAAATGAGGCAACCATACTTGCAGCTACTTATCAGTCTGTTTTACTGTGTTGTCTTTTTACAGAGGCGGAGGCTACTGCAGGAGTTGGGAGACCAGAAGATCCCCTTTCTGGCACCCTCAGATCGAGGTTTTCAGCAGCTGGTAAGACCTACTTCTAGATACTGTTAATGATATTTAGACCTTAACTTTAACAGGACTGCAAAAACATGTCTTCTAACTGCTGCTCTCAAAGTTATTTTTTTTCCTCAGACAAACATGCTTGAAATATAATTCTATTTTTATGTCGTATGTTTCTGCATGTCATGGTCAGCATGTTATGACAACACTGAATTGTGTTTCCTAGTGGGACACCAGTTACTCTGGTCTCGTGCTAAGGAAATCATGCTCACTGCCTGCTGAGCTCCATAGCCGGGTGCAGGCAGCTCTGCTCACCCTCAGAAGGAAGGGATGCCTCCTGAAGGATCTGGTTCGTGTTCGTGACCGAGATGTGTTCACCGCTGTGTCACGTGCCCTGCTGGGCGAACCGGGCCATACATATCGCTATCTGGACACACGGCTCTTTGCCATCCCCTGGCACAGTGAGGACATAGATGTCAAAGGACAAAACTGTTGTGACCCAGATCTGAGAGCTGCCTGCAAGGCATTGTGGGAACTTAACACCTTTTTCTGCACTGATGTGTCTCAGCTGAAAGAAGGAGACAGGCTAACACAATGGGCGAAGGGAGAGGCAGAAGCCAAACAAGGTGAAGAGGGGGACACAGAGTCTAAACACAGTGAAGACTCTAAAAATAGTGAAGGAGGGGACTCGGAGTCCAGGCAGAGTGAGGAGGGGGACACAGAATCCAAGCACAGCGAAGAGTGGGACATTGAGTCAAAACACAGTGAGGAAGGCTGCTCTGGGTCTAAACAGGAAGGGGAGTGGGAGACTGAGTTCAAACACAGCACCGAGGAGGGAGAGTCTTCCCAAGTAAAGCCAGGTGAAACCAGTTTTTCAGCAGCTTCAGAGCATGCTGAAGGAAAATGTCCTGACTGGGGAGTGAAGGCCAGTGGTGGCACAGAGACTGAACCTGTGGGACTAAAGGCCCAGGAGAAACCTGTGGCCGAACTAAAGCACAGCCTATCAGATTACCACATTCAGGACAGAGAGGAGCACGGGAGTGGCCAGGGCTGTTCTCAACCTAGTCCTCCACAGGTATGCAGCGGTCCAGTAAAGTTCAATGTCACCTTACTCAATTACATGGACCCAGCCGCAATGAGCCAACTCAAAGAGGAGCCGTACTATGGCATGGGGAAAATGGCAGTAGGGTGGCACCACGATGAGAACCTGATCACTCATTCGCCAGTGGCTGTTTACAGCTATAGCTGTCATGATGACAAAGGTAAGGATCAAAGTTAAAATGGTATTTGTCATAACTGTGCTCAGTGGCTTAAACTGCAGTTCAGATTTATAAAATTAACACTTCAGAGGCTTTTACTTAATACTTCAAAACTCTTATCCAAAGTTATCACGATAATCTTTCACATTTTTGGCTTAAAATTAAGATTCCTTTTTCTCTTTCACTTCAATATCCATCTCATTACTTTATCTCAGTTGCTTTATGGTGGATCAGATGCAGCTAACCTTGTGTGTTATGGCCCTACAGCAGCACTGTAGCAGCTGTAGACATGGCCTCTGGTGAAGCAACCATCAGATCCATCTATGCGATAGTGTCAGAGCATTATCAAATGTCATCACCAGTTCACTGCTGACAGCCTTATCACCGACAGTGCGTCGGGAGATCACAGACGTTTGGATCCGAGCTCTTAAACGCATGCTCAATAGCTTAGTCAAACAAACAAGGCTTATCACATGTGCTGCATCTCATCTAAATCATTTCCTCAAGAAATGATCGATGTGCAATTATCTGATATGGAATAATGAGCCCTGCTTTGATAAGTGATAAGTGTTTCCTAGACTGTACTGTATGAATACGATGTCTCCTAATTATGGAATCCAAACCCTTTCAAGAGCTGATAGCGTTTGCTGGTGGAGTTGAAGGCAAATCTCATTGAAAAAAGAACTTTGCTTTCTAGTGTATGAATAAAAAAACAAACAAAAAAAACCCATGGAAGGCAATAGTGAGTATTACTCCATATTTTATGTTTTTATAAGTACTTGTTTTCAGTTTTAAAATAGTTTTTTGTACATAATACAGTAAAATGCAAAATCCTTATTTTTTATCATATGGATCACATTAATGACTGATGTCTTTATTCATCTCACTTTTTAGAAACCCAACAAACCAGAAGAGTGCTTTTTAGCATAAATTATAAGTAGTGCAGTCAGTCATTAGATCACTACTTGCACTCTCTAAATAGTGGAATGAGAGCAAACTGTGTTTTCCTGTTGCAGATGGAGCTAAAGGTACAGCTGTAGTCCAGCAAAAAAAACAAAAACGTACTGTTGAAGGTGGGAGCTTTGCAGTTTTAAGAGCCTTTGTCTCGGTCTTAAAACTGTAATTTTAAAGTATCACGCAGGTGCACTGCTAACTTCTCCCACCACACAGCTGGGCTTTCTTCATTGTTGTTTCTTAACCAGAAACACATGCTCAAGAGGTTGGTTTTAATGATATTTTTTTGGGCCATTTCAATTTTGACCTTGCGAACACAAGCTTGAAACACTGTGGCGCAACACCTTTCTGTGCTTGGCAGCTGTCTTTCTAGTTTCAAGTGACCCCCACATCTCCAGACTTAGAACTGAAAGGCTGATCATAGCTCTACAGATGTATTTTTAAGTGGATGGCTCTGAGAACTCCCAGAACCGGTGGATTAAAAAGGTACCTATTCCAGAGAAGACAGAAACGCGGCACATTAGGCAGCTTAGATGTACAGATATAAAACATTTTGCATGACGCATTCATTTGAGATGTCTTTTCTCACTTCAACTGCCTTTTTTTTTGCTTGGACTAAAGAAATGTAGAGTTGGTCTTTTTATACCTGCACAGATCCAAAGGAATCTGCTACAATTGAGTGTTTTCCGGCACAGTGGATGATCTTCCACCATTCCTAAGGCCTTGGGGAGAGCTGTCATTAGCTGGCTCTCAGAGCACAATGGCTGGAAATTAAGTTACTATTTATCCGTGCTGAGCAAAGGAAAAGGCAGCTGTGGGGCAGAGAGGCCCAGAAAGAGTTTAGTATTGATTTTGCTGAAGGGTGTTGGCCAGCCAAGCCAAATCTTGTTTTCTTAGTATGCCATGTAAGAGTGGAAGGAGAGAGAGGGACAGGGGAGGCGCTTGCAGCGAATAGGTTCAGAAACAGGAATATCATAGGATACATACTGTCCAATAACACACTCACACACTCACTAAACAACATCAGGGGCTTTTATCCAACTATTTCCTCTTGCACAGCATAATGATAGCATAAAGATCCTGTGCTAACAGCCAATATGACCACAGCAACACGTATCATCTTTGCCTGGCTGCTAAGTGATTCTTACTTTCTGTAGACAAAGGCTTACATCTTACATCCATTGTTTGGGTGGTATTGATTTAATCATTGCACTCTTTTTTTTTTAATGTGTTAAGCCTTTCTTTAATTTAATTTCATTTAATTTTATTTTCTGGCTACATCATTGGTGATAGATGGCCACTGCTGTAGTATGCTATAGCAGTTTTTCACTGCATTACCCAGATATACAGGCAAAGATGTGACAAAAGTGTTATATATTTTTTAAACGGCTTCATAACAAACATGTAATTCCATAAATATTTAAGAGATTTAAATTTAAGGATGCTGCAGTTTTACAATCACTTAAGTCACACTGGGTTAAACTGTCAACCCAAAGCCCCAAATGTGAATATAAATGCAAAATGCAAATGTTACAGTGTGCTGGGCTCTGTTTGACTGACAGGTGAGAGCAGTGAGGGAAGCAGCAGTGATAAGGCCTGCTGGAGGATTGGGCTCAAGGTAGCCTGGGACATCCACACACCTGGCCTGATGCTGCCGCTGGAGTCTGGAGACTGCTATTACATGAGAGGTACAGACGTTTGTACATAAACGCACTCGGAGCTACACACATGCACATGTAAACATGTTGCTCGCACAGCTTAACCGCATTCGCCACTATGTCTGACTTTGGAGGGAGGAACACTTTCATTACCCCATGTTTTAGTGTTACTTGTCCCCAATGACCCATGCCAGCAGGATGCACTTCACTCTCACTTTCATGCTCAGTCCTTTTCTTCTAATTCTCTCTGCAGGAAAAACAGAGCTGAGACATGCGTGTTCATGCGTGTGTATGTGCAGAGAGGTTACTTGGCTTGAAAAGCGAGCTTTAAGGTTCCATGAAATTGTGTGCATTAGAGAGGTTAAGAAACCCAAATGTTATTTTTTGAAGTCCTGTGACCCATTCCTGACTATGTCTCTATGGGGAGAACAGACAGCAAGCCACAGGGGTGTAAATCATAGCTTAATGCTTTTGGCTGCAGCAGACACCTCCACCCTCCTCTTTTTGGTCCCACGGGTCTTTCCAAGCTTTCTCATATTTTCTGAGCGCAAGGACATTTATCCACATCACAACAGAGCTTGTGTTCAGCTGGACAAGAAGTTAGCGGCCCTTATAAAATGGCGGATTTATTATTTTATAGAGGCACTTTGCTTTCTTAAGTATATAAAGGTACAGTTTTAAGGTGGTCCTTATTTCATCTGCATGATGTATTACCGTACTTTGTGTATTTTAAATAAGTGACTAATTCATGTAGTTTGGAACTAAGAGTAGAGAAAATAAATATTTTAACTGATATACATCAGAACATACTTGACTACAACACTATGGTCAACATTTACATCAAATACAGTAAATACAGGTATTTAGACGCTGTCATTCACTCTTTTCTATATTTTTTGTAATACTTCACCAAATGTCTGGAGAGACTTTCTTTTTTAATTGAAAGATTACCATCTCTTTACACCCGCAGAACAAGGTGGTATAAATAACTTACTTATGTACTGCAGATATGTCACAAATCAGATTTACAACTAATTACAAACGAAGTAAAGCAGCTCTTACTTTTATGTTTTTTTTTTTTTTTTTTAAAACAGCGTGCTTTGATAATAATATTGTTGTTCGTAAGCCTTTAGGCCTCCAATTTTACAATTCTATAGTGGGGGTAAAAAAGGAAAAAGAAAAAGCACTGTAAAATATTTTCTCCAAACTGGTCAAGGCAGATGGCATTCCTCCCTGAGTCTGAGTTTGCTTCCTATTAAAAGCGAGTTTTTTTTTCTTCTTCTCACTTTCACAAATACTTGCTCTAAGGGCGATGACAACTGTTGTGGATTGCTTTTATATAAATAAAATAAAAATCTAGTTTTTACTCTATCTGCCCCTTCACATCTTTCTAAAACAACTGTTTCTAAAACAGGTGTTTTATAAACTAGTTATTCATAGTGTCAGTGGTAAAGTGTAGTAACTGTTTGCCACTACCTTGATAATAGCAAGGTGTTTTCTATAGCTGCACGCACATGTGTACCACATGTGTCTGATTTTCCAGTTTAAAGTTGAATCAGATTACCTGTCTACTGTATCAATGTAATTTTAGAACATCGTCAGTCTTTTCAAATGGACCACTAAAAAGTAAGCAATAGGAAGGTTTTAATGAATTCCTGACATTGACTCTTTGAAGATGCTATGTTTTCATCTGAGAGCAACGATGTCTGTACCTAATATTCAGTCTGACAGGGCTTGAAGCCGACCTCTTTTAGCTGGATAAGATTTACAATAGAACAGTCAGTTTCAGGCCAGCTATGATAATAGAGTGATGGGCTGTTGTGCAGACCATTCTAATGGGACTTGACTGTCGCGGATCAGTGGGGATTTATGCTCCACTTGGTGAGTACGCCCTTGAGAGGCCAACTGCTGCACGACGATAGCAGCTCACAGAGTCCTCGGCAGTCTGTGGCTTTGTCGGCCTACCTGATTTAAATGCTTGGCACAATGCACAAACACAGCCATATGGAGAAAAAAACCCAAACAAACTTAAAATTATTTCGTTCTTCAATAGAAAAGATTTGTTTTATATACAGTACACAATTTTGTGTCCTAAAATACTCATAGAAGTTTTCCTGCACAACATTATTTTTACATACTAAAATCCTAAAACTGAACCAATCGCGAGACAAACAAGTCTTGTAAGACATGCAACACACACACAAACTATATATTTTGTCACTGAATCTTAAGTTTTTCATGATTTTTTTCTTTTTGGGTGGCAACCGACACGTACGAATAAAAAACTGGATGTTTCACCTCACCATGTCAAGCCCACTCGTGTACACACAGGCAGAGTGGCCAGTGTTAAACCAAGTGTTAAGATATATTGTACCAGTGTTTTGGTGACATACACCGTATGATAAGTAGTTTTGTGGTATTAAAAGAAAACTACAATGGTGTATAACCACAGACACCGTAATGTATTTTCAGCACCATTTGTCGGCGGCTGGCCCCTTTGAACTGCTAATGTCTGAGCTGCTGGAGGCAAATTGAATCACCATCATTTCCACCCAAATGGAATTTCAGTGGTTAAAAAAGAACAATGCAAGTCTTGACACCGGGCCTGTTCAATAATCTGATTTCCAGCTCCCAATGCACAGGGGGACTGGAGAAAAGACTTGACCCAATATATTTAAAAGCCTGCTTCCTGGAAAAGGAGGACAAGTGGCAGCAGGCACAGGGGTTGAAAGAAAGATAAATATTTATTACAGTTATTGAGTTTGCCTCTACTCCCTCCTGATCCCACTGACGCATCAGACGCGCCAAGAAAAGAGCAGATTGATGGAGATAATTTGTTATTGGATATAAACAGTTTTAAAGACGCAGAGTAATTCTGCCCAGAGACCTAATCCTTCACAATCTCATCAGGGTGAAGAAAACACCGGCAAGTTGTTTTGTTTGTCACCATCTTTTTTTTTTCTCCCACCAAACAATAATATCTTCCTCCCAAAGCATTTGGCTGTTTGACTTTCAAATCACAGGCATTAGCCGGTGTACTCTTGCTCAAGGCGGGTGTAAATATGCACATGTGCTGTGAATGACAGCTCTGTCATGGCTAAATTAATTATTGTTATGAGGCAAATAATGGCAGAGCTGAGAAACATCTATACACACAAAGAAACACATGGAGGGATACACAAGAAACAGCAGTAAGGCCTCTTTGTAAAGCTTGTGTGATATTGGACAAATGTTTGTTGGTATGGCTCTTCCATCTTGACAGATTGAGCTCGATCTGGTTTTGTTTGGTAATTAAAATTATACTACAATGCTGCTCACTCTATTTGATTCGTCGGTACTGGACCAAGCGCAATCTGTCTGAGAGTATAGGATGATGTAGTTGTCATGTTTCTTCACTCTCCTTCTTTCCTGTGTTTTCTGTCATAATCTTTTCCTTTTATGCTCCTTTCTACTCTTTATTTTAATTATTAAAAATCACAACATCAGTATGGGATGAACATTCAGTTCTGGTGTGAGCTCTTGTTTACTCTTCGCTGCTCTTTTGATAACTCTCATTGGTAATGTCGTTGTGTTTTGATAGTTTTCTCTTAACTGTATTTACCAGATGACCTGAACAGTACCCACCAGCACTGTGTCCTAGCTGGAGACACTGCACGCTTCAGCTCCACACACAGAGTGGCTGAGGTGAGAAGTCAGACAACAGATTAAACTCTGTTCTGAATCGCTTCGTAAAATGCTGTATGGTCTACCGACAGCCTCCTTTGGAATTAATAAGGAATGCTGCTATGCTGTTTTATTGAAAGACTCTGTAAAAAGTTAATAAGTAAATAATATTCAACATTGTATGCTGAAGAACTTTGTTGTCCTCTTACGACCCTTTTACTGAGAAATAAAACAGAAAAACGAACGGTCTTTCTCTGCAGGGTATGGCGATGTAAGTAAAGCCACTGCAGTATATCCAAATATACTACAAAATGTTTTAAAAAAAATCATCAGACTGCTAAGGAAAAATGTGCCTTCCCTGGTTGGTTAGTGAGTGGTTGCTAGTAGTTACTAGTTGAAATTGGTCTCAAAGATGCGATGCTGCACCAAAAACCTTTATGCAATTCTTTGTTGTTTGCTGCAGTCCTGATTGGGGTGGAAACTTGGAAAAGTAGAAGGCAAAACAGAAAACACAGATTGTTTACTGCAATTAAAACATTTCAAGTAGATCAAATTTACTTTGAAAGCAAATGGTCTTCGGTACAACACCGTCTTTGAAACAGCCAGCAACCTTCTGTTACAGCCACAGTAGTGAAAACGGTGAATGTGGCGTGATAGGAATTATAGTTACAGTATTCAGTGAAGTTGCAGGTTTTTTTGCCATTTAAGTGTTTGCTTCAAAGACAGGGACCAGGTCTGTGATCGCTTGCAATAAGTTACCATCTTCCAGGCAACTTTTGTGTGTCATGACTGATAAATTGGCAATACTCCGTCTGCTATCAGTCTGTCATCACTTTGCGAGTGAATGGGTTCACGTTACATGCAATCTGTTTGTGATAGCAAGGCGATTAACTGTGATTAAAACTGTGGCAAAAATAACAAATCTCTTACTGTCTGTTTCAAATCTGTCTACATGTGCAGAAATTAACATTAAAGAGAAATTCACAAGAACTACTTACAGTCCAGCCAAAGCCTTTTTAAACAGAAATTCTTCTGCAAATAGTGATGCAGTCGTGCAGGATGAGGTGGTGAACATACATAAAATAATGTTAATTTCCTCTGATTCCACAGAGATGTTAGGCTAGTATGTTAGCATGTTAAACCACCTGCCTGACATTGTGTAGGTCCTACCCGTGCTGTCAAAGCACCTATTGCCCATTAGAGAACCAACATCTAGGAAACAGGTTTTCCTTGGCCCAGGATGCCCATAGGATATCCTTTGGGTTTTATAGGTTGGGGTCATGGAATGTGCATGTTCCAGCAAAGCCCATGGACTTACTTGTATTAGGATGTGATCAGTTTTTAGGTCATACGAATGCCTTGGGTTCTTACTGATGTTTCTCAAGTTGTTGAGCAATCCAGCTAGGGCAAATTGTCAAGCTGGGGGAGGCTGCATGCCATTAGAAAATGCCCTTGGCATTGGGATGTGTACTTGTTCTGCAACTCTCTGTAGGTGCTTCATTTAGAAGCAGTGTCCTTATGAATTTTCCCAACAGAACAGAACATTGCAAATAGTTTACCTGTTCTGTCTGTGGTTTTAATATTAGCAAGTAGACAGCTTATTAGTTGGGTAGTTTGACCAGTATATGCATATTTTCTAGGCATGCACCTAGGTTAAATGTATTAAATTTCTCACAAGCACTGCAGTTACGCTCTGTTTGTAACACAGTCTGTGTTGTTCCGATCAGTGTTCCAGTGGAACCCTGACCTACATCCAGTCACGTTGCCAGGAGGCCCTGTCCAACCTGCACACTGACCCCGACACAGGATCCCATAGGCTTGTGGCTCTGCTGCCGGCAACGCTACAGGACTGTGAGGAGATTCACAATGAGGTGGGGAGACGGTGGTGTGTGTTCACATGAATGTGCATATGTATGTACACGTGTGTCTGTGATATGTGTGTTATGCACATTGGACCATTCTTTGATTTTATTTGCGTTTTTTACATGTAGTTTTACTAGCATTGTTAAGCTAGCGTAGATGAGCTGTATGCACCACATCTGAATCAGTTTTATAAATCTGACTTCACTTTTAGGGCCTTCTGAGACTACTTAATGTGAATATGTGCCAAGAGTTTAGACAATAGGATTCCAGTCTTAAGTTTTAAAGACTATTCCTTTACTTTTTTTAAGAGTTCATGGCCCTCCTAGCACAATCTGAATTGTTCCATCTGGTCACAAAAAACAATTAAGAACCATCTGCAAATATGACAGGATTTTTCAAGACAGTATCACAGAAAGTATTGTGGAAATACAATGAAACCATTATCCATGATTAATAACAGTTTGCTTATTTATTTATTTTGCTTTTGCATTGTATAGACTTGTGCACCTGTGGATAGAGTCTGGTGAACATACATTTAATGAAGCCCTTTGGTTGACCTTGTGTTCTTTGATGGGACAATCACCCTACGTAACTTTACGGTATCAGTGTGTTATATCTTTCCATGTCAGTCTCCCAATGAGCCAAATGATGTCAAAAACATGACAACAAAAACGACAAAACACATTCCAACAAAAACTCCTAAAATCTGAAATGAAAAGCAAATATGACAAAGAGGAAAATCGTGTGCTTTAAACCTTTTTTAAACATTTTAATCCTGGTGGATTCTGGTTGATTCTATTTTATCTGCATTATGAGACTTGTGTACCATACTGGAAGTAATCTGATAGCAGGTTAAACATCTGTACATGGCAGGATGGACGCTTGCCAGCTTACCACCTTCTACGTACCTTGTTGTCTCTGCTCAGGGAAATGGTTGCAATATGAAATCCAGGTTGTTTTCATTTGTCCTGGCCTGTGATGGATTGTACAGCAATAGCCTCTCCATATGTTTTTCTAAAAGATGGAGTCAGGCCCCTCTCCACTCCTTAACCCCTTTTTATACAGAACAATGAGTGATGCTGGCTTGGGATATGGAGGGATAGAGGGAGGTCAAAAAAGAGGAACACGAGTGGCTGTCTGCAGAGCCACCAGCATACTGTGTTCACTTGCTGCAGGCCAGCAGTTAATATATCACTTCACCTCTCCCTCTTTACACCCTTTGGCCCAAAGTTCACATCCAAGCTGACACTAGCACCCAGACCCCTTAGCAGGATACCATGACAGATGAGTCTGACGTAAGGTTGTTTAAAGGTTGTAGACAATATTAATTATTCAGCACAGCCAAACAATAGCGCTGTCTGGTTTGGGAGAACTGCTGTGCTAGTTGAGTTAGCAACTGCTAGTTTCTTGCTTGTGGCACAGGATTACTAAACATTGGTTTATTCAGGAAAACAGCGCACAATTTATAAAAGAGCAGGTGTGTGTGTGTGTGTGTGTGTGTGTGTGTGTGAGTATTTAAGTAAGGAGGGGTACTCTCGGGGGCTCAAGCCTACCCTACCTGGCATTCTCAATGATCGATGTGGCCATTTGTTTGGAGTTGCCCACGAGAGCAGAACACCCACTTAAATGATGTATTGTTGGTGGAGTTATTTATGATCGCGGCCCAGTTTGGCTCTTGGTGGGTGCATATTGCGCAGGTCGTGTTTGACATGGGCGACTGAGGAGTGAACAAGCCTGAGACACGCAGGCAGCCTGACCTGAGCTGTGCCTTATGGGCCTTTCCTTAAAAAGTGCTAAACAGCAAGCTAGCACTGGCTGACATTCCAGGGATATTGTGCAATGTGGTGCAAGGAGGTGGAGGTTGACATTTGTCACAGGGTGTGGGCCCGGTTTGACGAAGATGAAGTGGAGCATCTGCCATCGCTGTCAGCATTTGGGGGTCAGTCGGGATGGCTAATTGAAGTAAAAATTGAATGGAGACAGAGATGGAAATAAAGAAAAATTTCCCACCTGTGTGTTTGGTCCCTCTCACTGTCTCCTTTTAATCTCACCTCCTGTTTTAGGTGGCGGAGGTAGGCTAACACAGCATCACCGCACCTTCCCCATGTGCAGGTTTGGCTTTGAAATGCTAATCCCAGACGCAAATGTCTTGTCTCATTTAAAGCCACTGTGTCACTTCCCAGGTGGGTGTGTGACAGAGTGCCGCGAGGGACCCCCTCTAATGATGCCAGTTCCCCCACAGTAAATATTGATGGGGGGTGGGGAGGTTCCCACAAGCTTTGGCAGAAAGTGAACTGTACGGAAGTAGTTGTGTGTGACCTTCTGATGTTCTGTTTTCATGGCCAAAATGTCTCCACAGGCTGCTTCAGTTTTGGCTTTGCTTTGAAACACCTTTCTTAAAAGGTCTTACAATGAGAATGTCAAAGTAATCTTATTAATAAGTACTCAAATTATTTTTTTGTAACAGATCAGTTTATTGTGGTTTGTACTTTTTATCTCTGCTGTTATTTTTACTTGCATTACCTTTACTGCTTGTTAACATTGTTTCTAATTATTCATCGTATTGGTTGATTTAATGGGTTATTTAATTTCTCTGTGCTTTGGTTTTATTAAAAAAATACTACATTGATAAAATAAATCTATCCATAAAAGGCAACATTTTTGACCATTTCTGAATTTTGCAATGCCATGATTTAGGCTTTAGATTTTGTTTTATTTTTTGAGTATATCATTTATTCGTTTAAAACCCTGCTTTCAAAATATTTGGGACGGTGTGTAAAATGTCAATTAATAGAATCGTTTGTTAATTTAAGCCCCGTACTTAACTGAAAATTTACAAAGGTTTCAAACTGAATTTCTATGATCAATTGTATTACGATTTACCAGCTTGGACAAATCGTCTCTTTCAGGCCTTCAAGTTGTACAAAAATGCTGCGACGAGACGATTAACATGAACAGATTTTAGGATTCGAAGATGACTATTTCTTTAATCTTTAGTCTGAGAGGAAAGAAGTGACAAACACTATCTTGAAGATAGAATGTTATGAGAAAAAGCCTCTATAATTTATGAGTAGTCATTTTAGAAAACCTGACCATTCCTAAGTTGTTTTTTTTTTCTACCTGTAGGGTGAAAGTAAAACATATATAGCAATCTGTGTGTTATAACCTAGATTGTGTGCGACTACTCTGGCAAATGTGTGATGAGTGTAAATTGCGTTCCTAGTTGCTCACCGGTAACCAGGCTTATATGTGAGGAGATCAGGAAAGGTAAACAGAGGACGGCAGAGTGGGATCGATCACACTCTCATCAGTTCTCACCTCAGGGCCCAGCCCAGAAATTGATTGGACCCGCTCAGGGACTACCGTGAAGGTGTGGAAAAAAAAATGTACCTCATTAAATCGGGGGGAAAAAAGGGGCTACTTGGCTTTAACTCCAGAGTTGCCATGGTGGGAGGCCGGTCAACTAATGTGCAGCTAATGTGTAGTTGGTGTGTCCATCACCTGGACAGATGACAGCGACTGCCTCAGGGGAGTCACTAACTCCCCTCTCACTCCCCCACGCCATCTCATAGAAAAACTAGGCCTAACAACCACTCTCTCTTTCGCACACACTTTCGATCTGTCTACCTGAATAGGTGGCATTTAGTCATAGTTCCCTACTTGGTAACTCTCAGCTGGGTAGCTAGCCTCCAAATGCCACATAGCCAGCACTCCTCAGTAGCTTTAGATGGCGTGCTTTGTGGCTTCCACTGGCCTGCGCAGCAGGGGACTGGCTGCCATGTCAGCTCAAAGTGGAGACACAGGTTGGTTTCTTCTCACTAAAGGACAGGCAGACAATCAGAGAGATAGAAGGATGGACAGACTGTGTGAAAAGGACGTCCGATATTGGCTCGTGTGGCTTTGTTGTGTGTTTGAGCTGTAGTGATCGAAGGGGAGTGGATTTGGATTGTGTTGAAGGGACCATAAAGGATGACATTTCTTTGAAGGGTGGGTTGTATGGAGTGACTGAGAGGCTGCTGAGCAGTGCCACTGGCTGTGTATTCTCCCTGACATGCCCCAGTCCTTGCATGTCATCCCCACTGTGATCAGAGCCTTTTTCCAGGACAGAATCCTCTCAAGTTGTTTGTGTAAATAATTTTTGCCCTTTGTTTTTGGGCGACTGTATGGAAGATGTCTTGCCTCATTTTGCAGAGCAGTAACCACTAAAAAATTGCAGTTGCAGGCCTGTTCAAACTTTTGAACAAGCTAGAGAGAAAGTTACAGTGGATGTCGCTCAAAATAAAACTCAAACTGAAGATGGGTCTCCGTGACTTTTTAGTCAGTGCAGCGTAGTTATATATATGAACGTAATTTGTCAAAGTTGGATGACAATTTTGGATCACCCAAATTATAGTTTTATTTCATGGGAGCGCTCAGCTGGAATAAATGTGTTTTAAACTGTTTCGATGACTGTTCATAGCTGTAAAAGAGCTCTGCTTGCCTAATGCTCTGTTAGAAGAACAATAAACAAACTACTTTTCAGAAAAGGAACAATGGCTCTCGTCGTGCTATTTTATATGCGTTTCCATTGTATGAAACTACGTTTTGTGTTGTACAGTTGTCTACGTCAACATGAAATGGAGCGTGCATTGTTTTCAGTGGATGATGCTTTGTAGAATGTTTTGGGGGAGGGAAGCTCAGCGTCTCACATTTACGTTGGTGGCAGTTGGGGCAATCTTTGACATTCACATTTACGTTGGCGATTGTATACGCATTAACAAAGACGCTCACGCATTTATGCAGACAGATACTTGCAAGGGCACAAATGCACTGATGCGCATACAGTTCAGGTACGAACACACAAACACGGAAAGACACACTTGGAAATAGAAAGGCTACACCTGGCTACGTGAAGCATCCGTGCGAGGATTAAATCAGCACTTCAAAAGAGCAGGAAACAAAAACACTCCCAATGGAGGAGAGGGGAGCGGCTTGGCAGTAAAGACTGTCATCTCCAGACGGAGCAGGAGAGGAGGGGATGGAGGGAAGAGAATGAGGAAAGGAAGGAGAGGGCGGAGTTTTCAGGTGTGCTCAATGGAAGGTGTGTGGGTGTGTGTGTGTGTGAGCAGACATACAGTAGGCTTGTTTGTGTCTAAATTGTTTTGAGGGTGTGATTGTACTTAAAGACATGACCAATGTTTGTACTATTTGTGGTAGGATGTTTTTTTTATCTACGTGTCAAAAATGAGTGAACGTGCTTTGAAACTATTTCGTGACAAACAGAATGTGCAACAATTCAAAGATGGAATTAGCAAGTATGATTTCAAGGGAATGTGTCATTTTCTTCCAGTGCAAAATCATGTCCAATTTATTTTCTTACAAGGGACTAAGAATTTATTTTTGTATTTGTAAAAGCATTCATATAATTTCACACTCTGACAAGTAAATGTATCTAAACAGAAAAGTCAGTGTTCTACTTAGAGATGTACTTAGTGAAAAGAACAGGGAAAGGAATGCATATATAATCTATGTAAATATCAGATGAAAGTTGTCTCTCTGAACAACGTTTTTGTTTTACGTGTATTTGTGTGTGAAGGTGGAGTTTGAGTGGCTGCGGCAGTACTGGTTTCAGGGCCAGCGTTACGCTCGGTTCTGCAGCTGGTGGACCAGACCGATGGAGCAGCTGGAGAAGGACTGGAAGCTCATGGAGACCATGGTGAGACTGCTCGGACACACTGCTAGTCACATGACAGCTTTGCTCTCTGGTTTCCCGACTTTTACTGCATTTGGCATCGACTCATTGTCACACAGATTACTTACTAAGACTTTGATGGTTAAATAAAATCTATCTAAATTTAAGTTTGTAGGCTGTTTACCATAAAATCTTTTTGTGCGAGTTTAGATTTCTAGGTTTTACACTCATAATATTTCTTTTCTGGGACATAGATGAAAACAGTTAGTAGGTTTAGTTTAAGTATTTTCCTTATATTAAAAATATGTTATAATGTATATTAAAACACTACTACTATTGCTTTATAGGTAAAGCAATAGTAGTAGTAGGAATATTCCTATATTCCTCAAAATATAGGAATACATAAAAATGAGAGCATTTATCCAAAATATGAAGAGTTTCTTTGCTAGTGTAGTAAGGCTGTCACACAAAATAAGTCTTTCAACTAAATGCTCAACACGCCTCTACTTGTGCTTCTTACACAAACTACACAAGTGATCTGCTGTCCAATAATACCCCTCACCAGAGAGGGTGTGTTTAAAATTACATGGTATATTGTCTATCTTCTTACCACGCCACACTATTAAGGATGTGTCAAGTGTTTAATCGTAGCCTCACAGAATTTTTATGGGAGCGGAACGTGGGTGCGTAGCTATTAGTTAGACACCACTGTAAAGGAATCACTTAGTAATGTCAGACTCATAATTAAGTCACCTTAGTCACAGCTCTGTTCTGTAAATTCTCTGTGTGCCGCAGACATACTCACACTGTAGACACACAGCGCGGAAAGCCACACAGTCATATGCTTGGTCTCGCTTTTGGTATACCCCCACAAGTTCTATGCAGTCCCACTCTCATAGCTGGATTTCAAAGAGTGCGTGCACATGTGTGTGTGTGTGTGTGTGTGTGTGTGTTTAACACCCAGACACCAGAAGCAGCAGGGGGCACTCTTGTATCACTGTAGCAGCATCGCAGGGAACGAGAGAGCTGTGCTCCTCTTTTCCTCTGTGCTCTCCCTCGCTCTCTGTCTCTTTATGTCTCTCACCCACTCCTGCTGTCTCTGGGAGCTCTCTGTCTCTGTCAGTGTCGAGCGCTGAGCAGTAATCACATCTAATGCTCAGGCGGGGATAAAGACTGGAGCTGGAGGAGAACAGTGCCGCTGCTGCTCAGCTCTAGTCATAGTCTCTCTTTCCTCCTCTCTCTCACACAGTTGAACAGCCTGGCAGAGGGTGGGTGGGGGTGTTAGTAGACAGGGGCTAAACTCATCTAGAGCTTTACCTCCGTGCCCAGATGAAGTGTGTGATTTGGACCTGTGTTTAGAAAAGGGCATCAGTGAAATGTGAGGTCTTTCTCCCTCTCTGTTCCTCTGTCTCCATGTCTCTCTAATGGGCAAGTGAACCATGTCCACTATGCATTTTAGAAAAAAAATATGTGTGACCAAATATGGATTTCCGCCATGTCGTTGGAACTTAATGTCAGATTATATGCAATTCGGGGAAAAAAAAAAAAGTAAACCAGTTGTTTTTAGAAGAATATAAAAAGCTAAATCAACAAAATGCAATAATTAAAATAAGGTAATAATACATGTGTAACAATAAATGCATGGGTATTTTAAATATCACAAATTACATTAACATGAGTTTATTAGAACATTAATTTTACAGATTAAATACTTTGGCACCAAATTGAATTAATCACTGTGTCACATCACACAAAAGCAAGTATGTCTTCTGCAGGAATGCATATTGAACCCGTGCAAAAAATGATACACTAGTGAATGCATAAAGGTAATGATTCACTATTGTGATGAAGGACAACATTATTGCTCTTGCCAGCAATATTTACATACATGCATCGACCTCTGATATGCTGATGAAAAGCACTTTATAGATGTGACTTATAGATTTTCCTTTCGGTGGTTTTGAAAGCTGTGGCTTTTCTGCCGTTAGATTAAAACACATTTCTCTAAATTACTTTGAGTTATTTAAATTATGTGGGTTCCCCTCACATTTCTTTATTGCATATATTTTACACTTTGAAGCTGGCAATTGACAGCATAGTATAATTTAGTGAAATACAAGTGACCTACTGTGTGCAGACGCTGTTTACCATGTATTTACTTAGATTTTTCTCTTGCCTGCAGAGTATATATTAATACAGGATTATTTTTGTCAAATTTGATATTACCATGGGTGTTTTAGAATAGCAAATATATGTCTCTTTAAATAGGATTTATAAAATGACACTGTATTGTTTTATACACTGTGCTGAGCAATAAAGCAGCGCATTGTTTTATCCTGCTAAAACAGCAATACAAACAGCCAGCCTTCCCCTCTTTATTGTCATATTTAGCACACACTGTCGTGGGATGCGCTGGGCTATGTATGTGTTTGTTAGTCTGTATGAAGAATATTGCAATATGGGGTGACTAGCTCCTGTTTATGGATACTGTCTCTCCCTGGGGCTCCCTCTCTGCTCCTCAGCCTGTTGTCATGCAAATGCTCATCCTTCCATTTGAATGACATTCTGATAAAATACATAAATAAATAAATAAAGACCCGAAACAAAACAAGTCCACTCTTTTTGGTGCCTCATGAATTCACGTGGTTCCTTGATAGAAACAAAGAATCCGCCTCTTCTAGCATGCCTATGTGAATGAACGGCAAAACTATATTATGTGTGTATGTTGGAAGGTGTGGCTGTACGTAGGGTAAAAGGTTGTTTCGGCAGCATGGAAGAAGGGCATTAACTCAAAGGTTTTACATTCCCCTGTGATCCAGGGTGCCGAAGTCCGTTTAGACCTGGCTCGCAGCCTTCTGTTCCCCCAGGACTCTGCTATCATGGCTATCATACAATAGTGACATTTCCTTAAACTAGCAACAATGAATAGCTTCCATCTGAGTGACAATAGACAGAGAGTCTTGGCTTTATGCAGAATATTTTAAATACCGGTGTGGTATTTTTTTATCTTTTCTCTTTTCACTGTCGGGGAGAAGCGACAGCGAGCCCACGAGCATATCTTTTTTCCCTGTCCTGTGTGTGTGCGTGTGTGTGTGTTTGCGTGTATGTGTGAGCCATTGATGTTAATGTATGCACTCGGCATGACTTTAATTGATTTAGCAGCTCTGCTTGCACAGTACAGCTTTTTCCCTAATTTGTCACTTTCCTGACTTCTGTGGCTGCTCATCTCACAACTTCAAAAGCCACCGGATGCAAAGAGATTTCAATGCACTCCGTCTTCTCTCTCTCTCTCTCTCCCTTTCTTTCTTTCTCTTGTTCTCTCTCGCTCCCGCTACCTTGCTGTATTTCTCTCTTTCTCACACTTTCTCCCTCATTTGACAGAAGAACGAGCCTTGTAGATGGAAATCTTTTCAACACATATCAAGGAAATTAATCTGCTTTCATAATAAACGGGATCCATTCAGTTGAATACATTTGTATACTTCAAGATGTACAAAACAGGAAGTGGTATCGGGGCCATGTCTTCCTCTGCACCGTTCACCCAGCCTGTCAGTCCCTGTTTTTCAATGGTTTGGTCACACACATACAGTACGTGCATATATATATATATATATACACTCTCTTTTTTTCCCTCCCTGTGTCACAAAATTTGCTTTCTTTGATTTATAATGGAGGCTGGATTTTGCATGCATGTGTATGCTTATGAGCCGAGATGCGCTTGGCGACCATTTCTTTTTCTCCCCTCACTGTAATAGCAGTCTTTGGAAACAATCTGGGCAGCCGAGGAGGGCTGCACTGCAATCATACAGAACCTGGCCTGGTCGCCATCAGTAGCTGATTAGGTTATTGAGCAAACGTGCTGAGGAGGGGTTGGAGAATGAGGGATGCGGGAGAGGGGGAGGTAGAAAAAAAAAAACTGCTGGTAGTGTGTGTGCGTGTGGGGGGAGCAAGAGTGGAGGGGTCAATGTAAATGTTATTGCTGTGTGAGCTCATTTGATCAAAGTCCTGGAAAGGTTAAGCGAATCCAATCTGGTTTTGTATGGCAGAGTGGAGACACAGGCGCTAGGGAAGAAACCCCCAGGACGGAGAATGGATTATCATATTGGCGCTGAAGTAGCAGGGGCCTCCGACGGACAGTTTACTCTGCCCGTAATGCGTTTAGACAGCAATTGGCCTTAATAACCTTTATTGACTTCAGCGGGTCAGTGCCAAGAATCTAATTATCAAAGTGTATCAATTTCATTGGAGTTTAGAGTTGCACCGCTCAAAATAATTATTTTAAGGTCGGCCCGGGGCAATTAATCCCCTCTCCACTTATTTGATGGCTTTGTAAAACATTATAAATGTTATGGTTTCTGTTGTGCGTTACGCCGTAAATAATTTTAGGGAGCAATTTTTTTGTAATGCATTATTTGGAGAGCTTGCCGTGCTGGTCCAGGTGAGAGAAAAAGGCAGTATATTTTAAAAAGCTAGGGGCTAAAGCTGAATCACGTTGCAGATGTTTACCAGCAGTAATTTTTCTCTTTTGCTTGCCGCTTAACTTGCACAGTTAGGCAGAGTTTTATATCCACTTTATATGCACACATGGAACCCAGATTAATTATAAGTGTGAACTAAGCAGTAAACTGCTTAAAGACCATTTTTATTGCTCATTATGAAGCCATTTATTATCTCTTACATTAAATCACACTGGGTTTATGCATCATATTGTTTTGCATTTAAAGCTCCACACTACGTAAATAGGCTTATACTTTTATTATATTCAATTCTGTGCGGTTCTTACGCACAGAGCGTGTGCAAAATGTGTGTCTGCGTGTATGGCTTCAGATTTATTTGTATGTTTCTGTCCGCGTGTCTGTGTGTGTGGGGGGGTGCAGTGTGGCCGCAGTGTGTGCGAAGGAAGTAAATGTGCAGCTGCACAGTAGTTTATCCTTCATTGACAGTCAATATGTGCTGTTACCTGGATAGTAGCAGCTGTTTCTCCTTATCGCACGACATAGAGTAGAGGCCTAATCCACACGTTT